GCCACAGCGCAAAGTTGATGTATTTCCTCAGCGACTAGCACGGATCAGCTCCAGGCATGACGAAGCAGATATCGTCCTCTTTTGCAAGGCCAAACAAAGTAGTTTCGCTTTCACAACGAAACACAGTGTCTTCACGACATGGCGGCGGCGGCGGCAACAACAATACTACAGCGAGAATAAAAGTTACGCCTTCTTTCTTTGCGTGAACATTTGGGCAGCGTTATGCAAATCTTTCCACATCATGACGTAGGTATGTGGGGGCGTGTTAGAACGAGCCGTTTTAGGAGGGCGTGGTTGACTATTAACTTTTATAAAGAATATCTCTTTGGATTTGAGACTTTAGTCTTTGCAACTTTACAGATCTTCTTTATGCACCAAGAGCTTGTAACACTCCAAAGAGAAAGGGAAAATTGAAGTCGCATTATATGACCCCTTTAAAGAGATCAAATTTATGATGTCTAAAAATCCAGTAATTTTGGAATTAGATGTTTTTCAGCACAGTTATAATAAATGGTTATTTAGGACTCTGGGATCTCTCATTGGATCTGAAAGTTATATTGTGTTTGCGTAGTGCATCTGTATAAAATATTTTTAAAATCTTAGGAAAAATTAGATTTTTGTTTTTTTGCATTATAAAACTCCTTTAAGCTATGTGTCAGTAAGTTTATACAGAATAAATGAAATTATTCTTTAGTTAATGAAGTGTTCAAAATATTGATTCATGTCTTATGTTGACACCAGGTGCCTTCAAGACTCTTGACAAAGACAATGATGGCACAATCAAGGTCAATGTTCAGGAGGTAAGGACATTTTGGCTAGTTACATTCTCTTAAAATTAGTATCATATTTACTGAGGATAAAATGTTCTGTAATTTATAATTATAAAATAAAACTCTGTCTCTTCACAGTGGCTGCAGCTGACAATGTATTCTTGAGTGATGTGAAGGCCTGCAATCAATTCAGATTGAAACAATCAGTTTAGTGCTTATTGAAATATTATGCAATATTGACATTCTGCTTTACACAGCTCCCTCTCTTGTATCTCACTCACTAATTCCAGAGAAATAGCAGCATGGAGCTGGTCAACCACTGGGGTTATGTGGGTCACTCGACTATGCTATTGTCTTTCTCTATAAGGTTTAGTTCTACCAATTTGTTTTTGCATTTGTCCCATTAGTAGCATTGTTTAAAAGAAAACTAACCAAAGAAAGAACATTACAAGAAATTTGTCAAAGAAAATTATGCTCAATGAAGAGTCTAGGTGCAGTCACAAATATGCAAAACTGTATTACATATTCTTGTTGTCAGTTGGTGCCATTTTGCATGAGGCCAATGGGGGATATAAGGGATAAAAAATATTGCCACGAATTCATGAAAATCTTGTCAAATGCAATTTTATATTGAATAAAAAAGTATAAAGTGATAAACTTGTCTGTTTTTCATCATCAGTTTGATTATTGATTAATTTGATGATCATTGATGTATGTTTTGATGCAGTAATATTTTGTCATTGTTTCTCTATATTATATATCCGGCATATATTTAATTCCAGTAGCTATAAATAAAACATAAACATATTCATAAGAAAGCGAATTTTTTTTAGCTAATGTGCCATTACCGTCAGCCTTGGCTAAAGCACGAGTGCTGAACCTGTTGGGGTTAGTGAGCACCAGCGCCACTTATACAGGAGCGGTCAGACGCGGTAACTGCACCCACCCGTCTACGCCATGGAGAACGAGCGAGCTAGTGCGCATGCGCTAAGCATTCGCTGCTTTCAACGAAGTTTCTGGATATCTGGGCGCAACGCAAAATATTGATTACATTTGACCACTCTGAGGTATTTATGCGACGCTTTTGCAGTGTTAAAGTACTTTTATATGCTTATGGCGATTCAAGAGTTTACAAACTGACCGAGAAAGTGACTTAAGATCCCACATATCGTGTAAAATAGCTAGCTAGCTTAAATAGCTAGACAGTGGTGATGTAGGTAACGTTAACGTAATAAGAAAATAAGGCCGAAATGTCCTTCCGCATCCAATGGTTTTGTTTCGTTTTGATAAAAAATTATGTTCTGTTTAGAAAAAAACATGAATTATGTTTACTGTTGTGTGCTGCTGGGGATGTTTGTGTTCGGTTTAATTCAGCTGTTTACATCGACGGCGCTGCCTCGGCGTAAAGACAGAACGCGTGATAGTAATGTCGCTGTATTTATGTAACTAACGTTACAGCTCTAACTACACCTCGATGCAAACATGCGCTGTACGTTTACAGTGAGTGAGTGAATGAATGAATGAGCCGGTGTTGTAGTTGCTCTTCCTTCAGTCACATTCATGTGTTAAGATCATCTTGTATTTGGAAATCAAGTGAATGTGAATAATTAATCTGAACTATTTTGCACTCACGGTGACGCTGATGTCCACTGCATGCTCACCTTACAGTGGAATATGGACCTTTGATTTAGTTGTACGTGATTTACATACTCACTGATTTATGAGCCGTGACAGAACATATCTCAACTTTACATAGCATTAGTTTTTAAAATGGCACCGTTTCCATTTACATTTAGTCATTTAGCAGACGCTTTTATCCAAAGCGACTTACAAATGAGGACAATAAAAGCAGTCAAAACTAACAAAAGAGCAACAATATATAAGTGCAAATGACAAGTCTCGGTTAGCCTAACGCAGTACACGTAGCAAGGTGTATATATATATATATATATATACACACACAAAGAAAAACAAGTAGATAGAATAGAAAAAATAGAAAGCTAGTTTTTTTTAATAAAAAAAGAAGATAAATAGATAAAGTAGAATTAAAATAGAATAGAGAGTGCTAGAGTTAGAGGGCCAAATAAAGGTGGAACTGATGTGTTTTTAGTCGATTCTTGAAGATGGCTAAGGACTCAGCTGCTCGGATTGAGTTGGGCAGGTCATTCCACCAGGAGGGAACAGTTAATGTAAAAGTCTGTGAAAGTGATTTTGTGCCTCTTTGAGATGGCACAATAATACGCCGTTCACTTGCAGAACGAAAGCTTCTAGAGGGCACATAACTCTGAAGTAATGAATTTAGGCAAATGGGTGCAGAGCCAGTGGTGTTTCCATTTTGACATTAATCAGAAGTGATCGCTTGAATGTGTGACAGTAATTCTAATAATAATAATAATAGTTGTAAATTAAAAACTACAAATAATATGTAGGGCTCTTCCCATATTTTCTTTTAAGTTTTGAGTTGTATAGTTTATTTAGATAATTGCCTATATATTCAGTGTCATGACCATGTTATGTCAATTTTGCAATACAAATTGTAAAGAAATTGTTGTAGATAATTTATCACATTTTAAGAAGGCTCTATAATTTAGAACACAAGCAAATCATTCTTGTGTTTAACCCTGTAAATCCTGACATATGAAATAATAGTCTGGAAAATATTTAGTTTATTAAACCTGTAGACAAAACAAAAAAGGTGGAAACACCTCAGTTTTTTTTCAGAGGCCCAAACTGAGCAAAAATATGCAATTTGGTGGAGATTTTACTCATATGGCCAAAAAGTCAGATGTACAAATATTGTGCAGTGCAGTTTGTAGAACTAATTGAATGGCAGGGTTCTGTATAAACAAATAAGGTTTAATATTGTAGCCTTTTATTTTTTGTAAAATCTGTTTTTGAGAGTGAGCTTATTCAAATCAACATGATTACATACTAATTTCTACACTGATTTACAGACTCCCCCTAGCTGGAGAGAGTGATATTCTGCTGTGAAGATGTCTGTGTCTTCGCTCTACCTCAAACAAGACAACATTGTGCGCTTCAAGAGGAGAAAAGCACGTTTCTCCTTCAGTGAAGTGCACATCCTGCTGGACGAAGTGCGGAAGAACCGCCACATTGTTGTGGGTGAGTTTTTCCTCCGTTTGACAAGCAAAACTTGACTGAGCAAGTTACCAATCTATAATAAACTGAGTTCAAAACCACCAGTAATTTTATTTGTCCCTATAAAACCAATAAACGGTAAAAGAAGATGTTCCAATACTTTTCTGTGTCTGTGCATAGGTAAGTTTAACGCCGGCGTTCCCTCTGACGTGAAGCGCAGGAAATGGGCTGAGATCACGGCACGTGTTAATGAGATTGGAGAGTGTGACAGAGAGATCATGGAGGTGATCAAGAAATGGTCTGATCTTAAGTGCGACACGAAACGTAAATTGGCTGCACTGCGGACGGGTCTTTTGGTGTCCCAGAGATTGGCACGGTCCAATATTGAACTGTCCCCAATGGAAGTCATTGTGGAATCCATCCTCGATCTGAACAAGAAACCGTGGGAAGCTACACAGCGGTCCAGATCTCGCAGTCAAGGTGACGATCAAGAGGCTGTGTGTGAGGATGAGGAAGAGGAGGATGGAGGGTTTGTGGGAATGGGGTCGGTCAACAGTTCCCCGAGCAGAGGAATGGATGTGGGAGGAATGCCTGCTATTACAAGTGGATCTGGGGGTGCAAGTGAGGTGCAGTATGACAACTCCAAAACTGGAGGTAAACAAAATACTTAAGTTGGATCATATTAAGAATTTTCAATAGATTTAGCACTGCAGTGTGGATTTGTCCACATCAGCGATCTGTTACCAGTAAAAGAATTTTCAGTGTACTTTAAGTATTTGCATATTTCGCTCTGAGCTCAATAATGAACCATCAATCATGTTTTCAAAAGCTACACTACTGTTCTAAAGTTTGTTGTTTACTTATGCTCATCAAGACTGTATTTATCCACTGAAAAATACAGTAAAATCAGTAATATTATTATTACAATTTAAAGGAATTGTTTTCTGTTTTAATATTCAAAAATGTAATTTATTCCTGTGATAGCAAGGCAGAATATTCAGCAGCATTCCTCCAGTCTTCAGTGTCACATGGTCCTTCAGAAATCATTCTAATATGCTGATTTGGTGCTAAAGAAAGATTTCTAATTATCAATGTTGAAAAAAGTTATACTTTTGGAAACCATGATAGACTTTTTTCAGGATTCTTTGATGAATAGAAAGTTTCAAGAACAGCAATTATTTGAAATAGAAATCTTTTGTAACATTGCACGTCTTTACTATCACTTTTGGTCAATTTAATGCGTCTTTGCTTAATAAAAGTATAAATTTTTTCCAAATAATAATAATTTTAATTAAAAAAAAATTCTGTAAAAAGCCTTTTCTAATATTGCAAATCAATTTGTATATAAAGCAATAATTTCAGCCCATCTGTTCAGAACAAAAAATCTGACGTAAAAGGAAGTTGTAGCCCCTGGGGAATCCACAGTTGCTATTTTAATAAATGTAATGACTTTTTAAAGCGAGCAGACAAAACTCTGATGTTGGCAGATGCCTAATGCCTGAGAGTAACAATGTAATATCTGGGCGTTAAATGTAGCCAATCATTTTGATGACAGGCTTTATCTCCAGCATTTCTGACTTTAAAAAAAAAAAATTTAATGAATTTAGTCACATTACTTTTTTGATGCACATTTTCTCTATAAGCACTGTGAAGTGTGAAAGCTTTAAAAAGCTATACATATATTTTGTGTGTGTATGTGTTAGGGTTGGGCCGATAGACGATGCCATTGTCCATCGCCGATGGCTTTCAGACATCATGATGTTGAGCCGGCATTGTGACCCCCCCCCCCCCCCCCCCCCCCCCCCCCCCCCCCCCCCCCC